AGCCGCTGCTTCAGGGGCCTCTGAGGGGAACTCTGGGAGCCCAAGGCCTTCCCAGGGGAGGGGTGCAAAGGCAGGAGTCTCTGTCTGTGACTCTGGGTGTCTGTGTCTAAAGGACGCAGCCGGATATGCTCAGAAGCCCAGGCCCTCTGAGTGGCGCTCGTTCTAACCCAGAAAGGGAAGGAGCTCCTCTTTTTCTCGAAGCTTCTCACGGATGCGAGGGGACTCTGAAGAGCTGCTGACGATTGCTCAGCCCCGTCTGACACACTGGGGAAACGTGCACTGGTCTGAGCCCAAGGAAACGGAAAACCAACTCGGAACGGCAAGTCAGTTCATGTCCAACTACCCACCCGGCAGGGAAGAGCAGAGGTTGGTGCCAGGTACTGAAGCCGCCTCTCTTGTCCCCTCTGCTCCCACCAACAGCCAGTGTTGCAAGCCCGCAGGGCCACCTCTCCCCTGCCTGACAGGGTCACTGGGCGTCAACATGGACTTAGTGGCCATGGGTTTGGTTTCATTAGCTGCTGATTGAAAGGCTGAGTCTAACCGGCAGCATCCCAGAAAGAAGATCGGGAGATCTGTGGCTATTTTAACCCAGACGCGGTCAGGCAAGATGGCGCTGCCACAGCTTGGATGACAGTCCGCCTTCCTCCTCTGTGCCGGTGTCGGGCAGGCCTTGCAGAAGGCAATGGTTTTCTGAGACCCACTTCGGACCAGTCCCTGGGCTGGGGGTGTGACACGGTTCTCCTCTTCGCCCTCCCTCACAATGTCCCCACGGGCCGGCAGCTGATGGGCCCGTTTTTTCCAGATGGCGATACCGGGGGTGGGAGAGGTGAAGAACATGAGCCTGGCATGCAAAGTTCACGAGGGGAGCATCCCCGGTTGGGTGCGGGGAGATGCCGTCAGGGGCAGCGTGGGAGAAACGATGCTATCATCGTCACCAGTCCCACGTCACACCCCAAACCAGATCAAACTGGTTGCCCTCAAGTCAGTTCTGACTCCCGATGGACCCCAACCAGGATGGTGCAAACCAAGCCACACGAACTTTTACTAGCCAGCTCAGCAGGTCAGTTGTTTCTTAGGAGGAAAGAGCAGAGGTTGGTCCAAAAGGCGGATGGAGACCCCATGTGAGGAGCCAGAATGGTTCCATCGGCATCTGAGACTGTGTGTCTTTATGGGAGCAGACAGCCTCCTCCTGCTCCTGGGGAGTGACTGGTGGGTTTGAACCACCACTGACCTTACAGTTAGCAGCCCAGTACTTAGCTAATTGAGCCAGACTGGGGGAGAAGGACTGAGTTCAAGTACACTTTTGAGGAAATTGAGGTTCCTTTGACTTTGGACATACTCTGAACCTCAGTCTTCTTGCCTGTCAAACGAAGGCCCAGGGGTGGTTGTGAGGACCAGGGAGAGGGTCAGTCACTTCCGTGCCTGGGGTGTACAGGGTAGAGCCCCAGGAAGCCTGGCTCCCTGGCACCAGGAGTCACAGGGAGGGGTGCCTGGCTACTCTGCCCCAGCTGACCTGCCCCCACCCTCATCCCTGCACGTCACCAGGATAAGCCTGTATCCCTCAGCCAGGGAGGGACCCAGCTCCCAGCCCAGCCCCCAGCCCAAGGCAAGCACCATGGCTCCTATGGTTGTTTCCACAAGCCTACTACTCCAGGCAGGAGCTCCACAGAGCTTCGCTTGTTAAATATTGATGGAGGCCCCAGACAGAGAGGAATGAGAAAACAAAGGGCATTTTATTTGTGATAGAGAAAGAAACCAACAGGAGAGAGGGGAAAGAGAGCAATGGGGGTAGGTGGGTGGGGGAATCTATAGACCCAACAGGAGGGGGGCATGTTTAAATAAACTACGGTACATTCACTCGCTGGAATATTGTGCTAGTGTTGAAATGATGTTTACCCAGAGTTTGTAATAACAAGGGAAAATGCTTATTCTAAAATGCTAAGTGAGAAAGGAAGCCGCTGAATTGTATATTCAGCATAATCACACCTAGGCAAAAATCCTGCCAAACAAAACCTATGCCTAGAAGAAAAAGACCGGAGGGATGTGCACCGCAGCAGGGGTGGCCTTTGGGTGGCAAAATTGGGACGATTTGTTATACTTTTCTCTATTTTCCAATTCTTTTCTCTAATGGGTATGGCTGGCTTAAAGCAGAAAGCAACCCAAATTATTATTGTTGTTTTCTGCTCAAGAGGAAAGCATTCTTAGGGGGGAAACAGGGCAGAGGCTGCTGGAGGCTAAGGGCCGGAGCTCTTACAGCAGAGCAAGCAGAAATCGGACACTGACCCCGTGAAGGGACCACACAGGTGTGGCACCTGCCACTGGCCGGAGATTGGTGATCGCTTTCCTTCGCCGCCCTACTGCTCCTGTCGGAAGTGGGGCTTATCCAGGTCCAGGAGCCTCTCCGTTTCTCGGGAGCAGCGATGTGGGGCTGCTTAGAGGCCGCTCTCCCTTCCCAGGCTAGGGTGACACAGCCCTTCGGGAGGCAGGACCAGCCTTCCTTCCCCAAGTCACCTCTGTCTGTGCCTCTCCCAGCAATCTGTGTAGGCTTCTGCTTGAATGTCACCTTCAAGGGAGGCCTGGTGACACTGCTGCAAAGAGCAACCCTCCTCCTGCCCTGCCCTTTCCTGTCCCACCTCCCTGCACTCATCCCATGGTGCTCCATTTACCTGTGGATGGCTGTAGTGCTTGGCCCATGGGAAGTCCTGGGAGTGGAGTGACCTTAAGCATCCTGGTCTCAGGGAGGGGGGTGGTGGGGGAGTGTCTTTGTAGGCCCCCTGAGCCACCTCTGTACTCTGATCACTGTGATCTCAAGCCCCAGCTCAGAGTCGGCTCCGACTCATCATGACCCTATAGGACAGAGGAGAATGGCCCCCATGAGTTCATCTTCATGAGGTGCAAAGAGCCTGCTCTCTCTCCCACGGAGCATGCCCCTGGGCTCCATAAGACCAGGGTCAGAGATGAGGAGCACTCTGTTAAGAACATCTGCCTGGGGCCACTATGAGGGGCCACCAGAGACTGGTGACCCACTGGTGATGTCTGCATGGAAATGCAAGGGTGTACTTCCCCTCGGAGCCCAGCTGCCCCTTTCATTAGGAAGACTACTCCCACCTGCAACTGGAGTGGAACAAACTTAGCAGGTGGCTCCCTGGAATCACCCCCTGTCCCTATTCTATGGACAAAGAGCAAGGCCCTCGAGGGGATGGGCTGACAGGTGGTTGGACAGTGGGACCAAACCTAACGAGGGGAGGACGGCACACAGGCCCTGGCATCGTTTCACTCTGTTGAGCACAGAGTGCTAGGAGTTGGAACCAATTCAGTGGCACCTAACAATGACATTCACCACCACCCTCTATGGGTGCCTCTGGCTTCTGTGATCCCTGCCCCTTTGGGCCTGGAGCCACTCTTGTCCTAGGCTGGCTTCTCACCACAGACCTATCTTTGGGCACCAGAGCTGCCCACCCCCCCATTCCCAGCTCCATTGTCCTCCCATGTATCACAATGCCGTTGGCTGCCCAAGGCCATGCCCCACCCCATGGGCTCTTTGGAGGCTGGTGCCTGAGTCTTCTCCAGCCCTCAGACTGTGCACACAGCCTGGTGCTGTGTCATCTCCTCTGGAGGCCCCAGGGGATCCCGAGACCAAGCTGTCCACCTGGTGTGGACTTGCTTTCCATCAGGGGGAAGGGCTGCAGAAGGCTTCACGTGTGCCCCCCACTCCCTACGGTCAACATGGAGACCCACATACTTCAGGTCGCATGAGCAGGAAGAGATCTCCTATCTCTTTCTGCACAGAAATCCCTCCCTCCCCCCACCAAATTGTGTCACTGGAAGCACCTGGCCCCTACCTGCCATTGAGCTTGAGTGTGGCCTGGGCTGGGACCAGGTGACCTAACCCTTCCAGGCTGAAGTGTAGGAATACACTCGGCAGCCTCATCTTTCCAGGCTCTAGGACAGAGAGGGTGGCCGTGTGTGGTCCAAAAAAGGTCCTCACCATCGTCATACTGCCTTCCCACTCATTCTTGGTTTCAATCCTGCATCTTCCAAAAGGATCCCTAGTTGCAGGCCCAGGTGCTTGGCCCCTGTCAAGGCCACCCTGGGACTTGGGAAGAACAATGCCCATAGGCTCTCATTTGCCTTAGAGGCAGGGAAGGGCACGAGCCACTCTCCCTGTTTCCAAGATAGAGACTGTGAAGCCCAGTGTCCCCCCTTTGTCACTTGTCAGACCCTGCCCTGATGACTCCCGTCTCCATGTCCCCCTCTATACTCTCATGCCCTTAGAAGCCATCCCAGCTCCCCTGGCTTCCGGAGCATCCGCCACCTTCATGACATGAGAGGCCTCCCTCAGAGATGGAAGTGGGGTCATGGCAACAGGCTGGACCAGTCCTGCTTCCTTCCTCCAGGGACAACGGCCCTTCCTGAAGCTGCAGGGTCTCCTGCATTTTACCAGAATTTACAAAAATGAGGCAAAATGAGGCCCTGGTGTCTGGATGCTCCACTCGAATCTGCTAGCACCTTAGCTGCACCATGGACCAACCCCTCCCTGGTGACCACGTGGCCAGAGAGGGAAAACTATGGCACCACCTTTACACTGGCCCTAGAGGAGTGATTGGGCAGCCTCCAGTGCCCAGGAGTGGGTGGCAGGGTTGAGAACCATCCCAAGGGCCAGGGCAGGGAGTGCAGTGATCAGTCAGAACTTGGTGCCAACAAGGAGAGTGGCCCTTGGACACCGTGTTTGTCTTTCCTGTCCTGAGACCTCATCTATCCTGAGAATCAACTGTATTCATAGTAGACCAGTATGAGAAGATGTCCTGTTTCAAATGGCTGCTAAAAACACACATTCTTCCCGTTCCACCACTAAAGTTTCAAGGCAGGAGAAACAAGAAAGTGGGCTTGGCTACCTTTACTCTGCAGGAGGAAGTCAGAGGGGCCCATGAGCAGCTCCACCAGGAACTGCTGTTTCATAAACCACCCCCCTCTGGTTGCCCCCTGAGCCCCCCTCAGTCCCCCTGGACTCCCCTGAGCTCCTGCCTGCTCCTCTCCCTGCGGCCCACCTGTGTCCCCGGTGCTTCTGGGAATGTGGAGGTAGGGCCCAGTGGGCAGTGATTGAGAAGGGGTCCTTGTGGCTGAGAGGGAGCTGGCTTAGCATGAAGGTCACTGGGGCCCGCTGTGCCTGGAAGAACAGGCTGTGCCCATCAAGGTTAGAGAGAACATTTATGAGGGCCAGAAGCCAGGCGGGCTCAGCCTACAGGCGTTGGGCAAGGGCAGACACCAGCTATCTGCTAAGGGGAAGACCTCACAGCTCCGGAGGAGGTAGGTCTAGAACACACATCTTACTGACCCATTCCTGGGCTGATCCCTCTCCCAGACATGGCCATAGAAGGATGGGCAAGATGGTGCAGTGGTCTCCCGGTTTTTCACGAGGTGAGCAGCCCCAAGGGACACTAGACCCTGGTCTGGGGCACTCCGGGAGCGGGCAGGGTCAGCACGGTGGGCAGGAGGGTGCCCTGCGGGGAGGGGAAGCTCTGCAGCTCTTCGGGCACAAACCTGGGTGAGACGTGGTCGGCCAGGAAGCCGAGCGTGCGCCGGCGCCCCACGCAGTAGATGCGGTTGTCCACCACGGCGCACTGGAAGGCGTCCGGGTACGGCGTCCGGCGGGTGGCACACTCATACCAGAGCCGCGTGCTGGCGCTGCAGCGGTACACGCCGATGCCCAGGCTGCGGTTGAGGTCGAAGCGGTAGAGGAAGCCACTGACCGCCACCATCTCCACGGTGCGGTCCCTGCCCCCGCCCGTGGGGCCGGCCCACCAGCGCTGCTCCTGGGCGGAGAAGCGCAGCAGCAGGTAGCGCAGCGTGCCGCCAGTGACGAAGATCTCCCCGGCACAGGCCGTGGCGGTGTGCGCCAGGGCAAAGGTGTCGTTGGGGAGCGGTGGGGCAAAGTCCCAGCGGTCCAGGCGGGGGTCGTAGCGCTCCACCGTGTGCAAACACTCGCCCCCGATGGCGTACAAGTGCCCGTCCAGTGCCACCAGCCGACAGTGCGGCCGGGCCTGGTTCAGTGGGCTGACCTCGCTCCAGATACCCGTCAGCGGGTTGTAGCAGAAGACGCGGGTGGAGGCCTGGCGCCGGCGCCCCTGGCAGCCGGACACCACGAAGAGGTAATTGAAGAGACTGCAGATGGCACAGCCCCAGGACACGGCCTCCTGGGGCAGGCCGGCCAAGGGGTGCCAGGTGTCCTGCTCGTCGTCATAGCAACAGAGGCGGCCGGACTCCTCCTGCGGGCAGACGTCAGCCACCACCAGGCATTGGCGACCGCACAGCCGGCGGCGGAGGATCAGTTCGCGTTCTGCGCCGCTCAGGCGGTTGTAGATGTCCGGGCTGCGCAGGACCTGCAGGTAGTTGTCGGTCATCACCTTGTAGGCCGCCTCCTTCAGAGCCCCCAGGTGCTGTCGCTTGGCCAAGGTCAGCACCTCGTAGCAATTGCCCAGGTCCAGGTGGACATTCGGGGCGGAGCTGGGGCTGAGAGGAAGGTGGAAGAAATTGGTCCCAGCGATGAGTTGCACACGGGGTTCCCGGCTGCTGTTATCTGAGTTGGAATCCGGGCACAGGGGGTTGGTGTGGGTGGGGGCCCCAAAGCCACAGAGTTGCAACTGCAGCTCCGGGTTCTCTGCTATCTGGAGGAGGCTTGTCTTCCTGCTGAAACCAGGCATGGCGGCCAGCGTGGGTGGTGAGCTAGAGGCTGCTTCAGCTCCACCTCCTGTGGTCTCACCATGGCCCCCAGCTACCAGGCTGGTCAGCAGGGGCCGTGGCACAGGAGGTGGAGCCCCAGCCAGGACCACTGCCCGGGGCACCAGGCTGGCCTGAGAGGTGGACTCAACATAGTACTCATACACCTTGCCCCTCAGCCGAGGCCTGCTCTCGGTGGCCTTCTTCCGGATGAAGTTCTCCTCCACTCGGACCTGGGCCATGGACGAGAAGGTGTAGCAGGCATCCCGGGCCCCTTCCTGCTGCTTCAGGGCTAGGCCCAGGTCCGAGGTGGCCTGGAGGGCTCCTGCCTCTTCCCTGTGGACCCCTGACACGCGGGTCAAGACCCAACTCTTGTTCATGTTTCTGCCGCCTTCCCTGTGCATCAGCCAGTGTTGGTGTGGGGACCCCGGCTCCCCTGCCGCAGATGGCTCTGGGGGTCTGCAGCCCCTCCATGGGGTAGGTTCACTGCCTACAAGGCTGCCGTCGCCCCCAAGGAGTCGACTTGGGGAGCTTTGGGGGTCACATCCCAAGTGGGGTGCAAGACAGGGGTCTGGCTTACCAACAAGAGCTGCTCCAGCTTCCTTGCAGGGAAGGGGCACCTGTGCAGAGTCCAGGCCCTGCGTGGTCCCCTCCTCACTGGTGGTTCTCCTGTTGGGCTCCCCGTCTCTGGACACTGTTGACAGAGCACAGGAACCCCCCAAAATCTCCCCGCTGGAGCCCAGAGGCGCTTCAGCCCTCTTGCTGGTCCTCCGACGGCGAGGTCCCTTGTGCAGGGCCCCAGGAGAAGCCCCCTGGACAGCAGGTGGCCAGCCACCCTCTGCTTCGTCTCTGCCGTCAGCGTTGGCGTGTCCACCCTGGGGAGGGGCCTGGGCAGGCCTGGACCTGAGCAGTCGGTAAGCAGCAGTCACCAGGAGCAGAGCGGCGGCAGACAACACCACCCGGCCTGTCAGCTGCATGTCCGAGCCCCAGTCTGGGGCCCCAGCTCCTCCGGGGAACATGCTTCTCAGGCCGCCTGGGGCCCTGGCATGTGAAGAATCCAATTAATGATTGCCCAGTCTTGATTCTTGCTTCCTGCCCAAGTGGGCAGGGAGAGGTTTCTGGGCTGGAGCAAAGGTGACTTTGAGCTGGCAGGGGCAGCGGGGGGCCAGGGCTGGCAACCTGCAGTAGGTGGGCTTCTCCTGAATGCTTCAGTGCTTCGTCTGGGAGGCAGGGGCTTCTGCCCAAGGGTCGAGCTTGTGATCAGCCATCAGAGATCCCTGGACACGAGCAGCTGGGACCGGGCGGAGGGTCCAGTATGTAGACGAAGAAGGAGGAAGCTCATAACCAAACAGTCACCGGATGCCAGGGAAGGCACGGGTTGGTCTCTCTCTCTCTCAGGTTTGCAAATTGACTGGACTAGGAAGGATTGGGTGTGGCTGGCCACTGATCACGGGGTAGGTAAGGCCATAGTGGGGGTGGCTTGGGTCATCCCTGCAGGCTTCTTTCTTGCTGGGGTCTTTGGCCCCAGGGTGAGGTCAGTGTTTGGCTGGCCAGGCCAGGGACGCAGCAGGGGAGGCTTGAGCAGGGATTGTAGCCAAACCACCTGACTGAGCTCTTGAATGCCTCTGCCCTCCTCCCTGGTGGCCTGTTTCCTAAGAGGAACTGGACTTCCTGCGGAGGAATTTGGGAGAGCACATTGCGCCCCAGATAGGGCTTCTCTTCGCCCTCAAAACCAGACAATTTCCCGTGACAACTGTTGGGAAACCTGGAGCCAAATGACCTGGCTCTATCACCTGCCAATCATGTGGCCCCAGACAAAGGGCTTCCCCTCTCTGTGCCTGGATGACACCATCTGCCCATGCGGATGAAGGCAAGCCTGTCTCATGAGGTCGTGGTGGGAACCAAATGGGCTCACTAAGGCACTTAGGACAGAGCCTCTGGGTCATAAAAGCAGAGTAAATATTGGTGGTTCCTTCCTCCTTCCTTGTCACCAGCAGCAAGACCTTGGGAAGCACTGACCTGGTTCTGCCCGTCTCCTGACAAGCCCTCCGGTGTGGGCCGTTGCCATAGAGCCAGCGCCAACAGCGCCACCACCCTGTACCACAGAAGGCAGCATCACTGGGGTCTCTGCCATCCTCACCCTCCTTAGAAAGCTTCAGTCTACTGGTGTGGTCACTGTGTTCTGCGGTGGGCCCTGGGATCTTTCTGGGATGATTTTCGGCAGCAGATTGCCAGTTGCCGGGCCTTTCTTCCTAGTCTCGCACCCAGGAAGTTCTGCTGATTCTGGTCCAGCATGAGTGACTGTGCTGGCGGATCATTCCAACCTCTTACCAACATGAAAGTTAGCACATAGGACTAGCCGATGAATGGTCTATCCCGAAAGCACTCTGTTGTTGCTGTTGTCGTTAGGTGTCATTGGGTTGGCGCTGACCCATAGCGACCTCTAAGGGTCCCCAAAGGCCAGGGCAGGTTGCTCAAACGCATACTGCTGGTCGGGCTTAGGCAGGCGGTGCTGACGAGCTGGCCCAGCCCATTCCTCCAGAGCAGCTTAGCTGCCAGGGAGTGGTGGGGTCACGCTCACCTTCAGAAGGTTGGAATCTAATGGAAGTAGTATAAAAGCAAAAGCCACTCAGTGGGCCAAATGCAGCACCTCCCCGGGAAGAGAACGGCTCGTTGACCTTGGACTCAGCGAGAGAACCACTGCTGCTTATGGCCCCTGCGGGGTCAGACTCAATTTATCCTCCTGAACCCAGCCGACTGTTGCCCACCTGGCCTGGCTTGGCCACCCTCGTCTCTCCGGGCTGGCGTTCAGCGTTGGGCCCAGGCTGTGTCTTCCAGGAAGCCTTCCCAGCAGCCCCTTCTGCCCCGGAGCTCTCTTTCTTGTCTGGGTCTTTGATCTGTGCCCTCTTGGCCTCACTCCCCTGGGCCACAGCGGGAAGTCCCTTGTGTGCGGTCTCTCTTTTTATGGGGCAGAGAGTGTGTCCCTTCACAATTGGGACAATAACCAGGGGTCCTTCTGTTGGGCCGTGGCTGGATCTCCCTGGACACCCACCCTTGTCATCGCTGCAGAGAGAGCAGTGCTCCGGTGGACCTCTGGCCTCTACAGTTCTACAAGCTTGATTTTATCCTGTGTGGGTTACCTGCCGGGGAACCTGCTCAGCCTGCCCCAGAGCACCCAGGTGGAGGGAGGGCCCTGCTGGTCCCCTTGCTTTCTGTCCTGCCACGAGTGATCCTCAGTCCAACAGGCACCGGAGCACTGTCCCAGGGCACTTGCTGCTGTGGCTCCAGCTCCCGCTCAGGGTGTGGTGGCTCCTGCACTGTCGTTGCAGGAAAGGTCCCCGGTCCTGCGCTGGCATCCCGGATCCCCTGCGGCCACCTCAGTGTACTTTGTACACTTCCCACCAGGGGCTCATCTAGCACAGGCAGCAGACGTGCTGTGGTGATTCGTAGAGTGTTTACGGGCTGGTTTTCAGAATGAGATCGCCAGGCCTTTATTCCAGGTCTTTCTTTGGAAGCTCTGCTGAAACCTGTCCACCACAGCTGACTTGGCTGGTGTTTGAAATACCCGTGGAGTAGCGTCCAGCTGCCCCCGGAGGACAAACGGATGCATGGGGGTTACTTGTGAGGAAGGCACATTTCTAACCCCACACACTCTGATTCAGGAGACTTGAGTGTGTGACAGGAAGGCTTATCGCACGGTCACCTCGGGAGACTTCAGTGCATTTAGGAGGAGCAGTAGTTCAGTGCTTGGCTGGTCACCCTGAGGTGGGGGGTTCTATCCCACCAGCCGCTCTGTGGGGGAAGAAATGCTGGGGTCATCTGCTCCTTCAGAGACTGATAGCCGAGGCAAGCCTGTGAGGCCATTCTCTGTCCTGTAGGGTCGCCAAGAGTTGCAATGGATTTGAGAGTGCACAGCAAGAGTGGAGTCTAGACTCTCTTTTCTACTTGTCGGCTGAAAGCGTCTCTTCCTCCTTGGGGTGGGGGTGAGCAGATGCTCCCTCGATCATCAGAGTGAGTGGAGATTGGAGTTGGGGAGCTTTGCATAAGCACCTCGTTTCTGGCTGGAGAGACGGATGTTATCACTGTCCCCATTTGCCAGGCGAGTAGATGAGCCTCAGGGGCACTCATCCAGTGCCATGCGCGTCCGGAGGCCTCTCTGACCCCACTGATCCTCCTCTGGGAAAGAACAGGTGAGATACTCAGGCCTTGACCAGGTTGGGGGGGGTAGGGGGGGCGCTGTCAGGGCTGATGCACCCCTCTTCCCCAGGTGGGCAGGCTACCATTCCAGTGAGATAGACAATGTTGGGGTTCCTGTATCCTTGAAGTGGTAGGGGGGTGGTCATGTGGCATGCCCTGTGACCTGACGTTGCCCTCTCAGATGACACCCAGAAAGCAGAGTCTCAGCCCGTTCTGTGTGATGCTTCATGCCCCATCTGGGTTCTAGTGGGCCCAGCACACTCGCCCAGGGGCTCCTTCTGAAACTTGTCAAGTCCCACAACAGTCCGTCCCTTGGAAGAATGCTCTAGGGTGATGGGCGCGTGCGTCCCAGGTCCAGGAGGATGGGCGAAGGGGAGTACACAGCCCCAGCCCTGGGGAGCTTATGCTTCCGTCGGGAAGATAGGCAGAGGCCTGAGATGGAATTGAGGCAGTGTAACACAAGGGAAGCAGCAATGCCAATGCCTCTGAGCCACAGGGTGGCCAGGGAGCCCGGGCGAGGGGCATCAGGACAGGGCTCGGGAAGGCCTTGCAGACAGAGGCAGTTCCAATTCAGTGTTGGTGGCCCTGGTGGTGCAAATGGCCAACGCTCTTGACTGTTGACCAGAAGGTTGGTGGTTCAAGTCTAAGAGGTGCCTCAGAAGAAAGGCTTGGCAAATTTCCTTCCAAAAATTCAGCCCCGGAAAACCCGAGAGAGCAGCTCTGCTCGGACCACACGGGGTTGCTCTGCGTCCCATTGACTGGTGGGCAGCTGCTTGTATCATTACTCTTATTGATAAGGAAGGAGGAGGCCGCAGGGGGATGGAGGGATAAATTAGTTCAGCAGAGCTTCACTGGGTGCTTACTGAGCCCCAGGCCTTGACTTGGGAGGTGAAGGAGACCCATGTGGTCCCCGCCTCATGGGGACTGCAGCCTAGTGAGGGGCTGAGCTTCCAGGTAGGAAGGACAGTGAGGGGACAACACCGGGCAAGGTCCAGGGAGTGGACAGGACATTTGAGGAGCAGGCAGGGGAGCAGGGAGGTGTGAGGAACAGTGCGCTAGAGCCAGTGTTCATCTGTTAAAGAGCTGGACAGCCGTGGAGCTGTCCACACTGGCCCTGGGAGCTGGGTCCAGGCAAGTGCTGGGGGCTAGAGGGCATGATGTGAATCCTGGCCAAGCACTTCAGCCGGTACTTTCGGTGACCCCCTTTGCTCACAGGTGTGACATGATGCAGCATATGAAATGGGCCTTCCTACCAGCCCAGCAGCTCAAGGAAGGACAGAAGACAGCAGCAGCGGGGCCAGGACCTGAGGGCCCTGGGGCGGTGGGAAGCCAGCACTAAGCCCTCCCCTGTGGTTTCATTTCATCCAGCAGGTGAACCCCACTCCCGCCCCGCTGACTTCAAACTCCATAAATTACAGCCTTTTTTTCCCCCCTTCCCTGGTCCCTGTTTGGAAAAAAGTGAGCTGAACAAATGAAGACAGGAGCGAAATTAAAAGATAATTGGAAGTCTATATTGGGCTTCCGTGGCTGTGCGTACGAGCCGCCAATCTGGGTAAATTGAGAACTCTTCAGTTGGCTCAGGGGGCTGGATAAAGCAGTCAGAGACGAATGCGTGCCATGCAAATAAACAAGCACATCTTCCTGCGACAAGCTTTGCATTCTGTGCACCAGCACCTCCTCCAGAGTCGCTCAACCGGGCTTTCCAAGGTGGGGGTGGACTCCAGGTGGGTCGGGCAGGTGAGGCCCTGAACAGAGAGCCCTGGAGGAGGTGGGCCTGGGCCCCTCAGGGAGAGAGGCATGTGTTCAGAGAGGATGCAGAGATGTTGGGGAGGGAGACAGGGGAGTGCTTGGCCTTTTACACACACAATTGCGTGTGGACACACAATTACCCGTGCACGTACATGTGCACCTAGAGGCACACACAAACACAGGTGGCTGTGTACCTGCACACAGATGCAGACACACACACACACACACACACACACACACACACTCACAGGGGTGTGAGCCTTTTGAATCCAGGAGGGTCAATGGCACATGCACCCATTTTGACTGATGGGTGGGCAGAGACAGATCAGGAGAGAGTGTCAAGCATGGTGGCTGGACCTGGCTCATCTAGAGGGTGCTCAGTTGGTACTGTGGGT